GGGGGGGGTGGATACCACTCTGGGCCGAGGAAATCCGGGTCTACAGGCACACACACGCACAAGCACGCGGCCACGGATGCCCAACGTGTCTTGCATGGGAAGGGACAAGACAGGAAAAGCCCACTCACCTGGTGCCCTCGCCCCCTCCTCCCTGAGGCACACACACCCTGCGGAGGGCGGTCCGGCAGGCACATCAACACCGTAGAGACACACACACACACACACACACACACACGCGCGCGCGACGTCTACTCCTGGGGACGGGACACACATGAACGCATTGCATTCCCCTTCTCCCCCCCCCCCCCCCCGGCTAGGCCCACTCTCGTGGAGGCGCGCGCCCCGATTTGGGGCCATGCTATTTGCACTTGCATATATTTGTTTGAGGCATGAGGGAACACGCGCGCGTACACGCAAGAAACGCCCCTCTCTCTCTCTCTCGGTCTCCCTCTGCCCTTTCTGCCTTCCTTTTTTTGCCTCTGCTCCAACATTCTCCCCCGAGGCGGAAAACATGCACATACATACAAGTACACAATAGCATGGTCCTCCACCGGCGGGGGTCGCGTGCAGGCGCGATCAAGGAAAACACAAAGGAAGAGAGACAGACAGGGGACAAGGGAACAGGAAGAACAGGAGAGAGAGGGAGAGGGGGGGAGGGAGACAGAGAGAAAACATCCCCCTCCCACACACACACACGCACGCACGCACACAGAGCGCCCGCCCCTTAGGCCTTCTTGGCCATCTCGTTGAGGGCCGAGCCATGGCGGAACCAGGAGATCTGGCCCTCGTTCATGGTGTGGTTCAGGGTGATGTCAAAGGTGGAGCCATCCTCGCGGGTGACGCGGCAGGTCAGCGGCACACCCGGGGACAGGTTGGCCAGGTCCAGGATGGACACACGGTCGCGCGGGCTGATCCGGTCATAGTCCGCCGGGTTGGCGAAGGTCAGCGGCAGGACACCCTGCTTCTTGAGGTTGGTCTCGTGGATACGAGCGAAGGACTTGACGATGACCGCGCTGCCGCCAAGGTACCGGACCTCCAGGGCGGCATGCTCACGCGAAGAGCCCTCGCCATAGTTCTCATCGCCGACAACCACCCAAGAGATGCCCTGGGCCTTGTACTGGCGCGCCACATCCGGCACACCCTCAAAGGCGCCGGTCAGGCGGTTGAAGATGGAGTTGGCCTGGCCATTCTCGGAGTTGATGGCGCCGATGAGCATGTTGTTGGAAATGTTGTCCAGATGCCCGCGGTACTTGAGCCAGGGCCCGGCCATGGAAATGTGGTCGGTGGTGCACTTGCCCTGGACCTTGATCAGCACCGGGTGCTCGATGAAGTCCTTGCCGTCCCACGCGGCGAAGGGGGCCAGGCGCTCCAGGCGCTGGCTCTTCGGGTCGATCTGGACCTCGACATTGGACCCATCGGCCGGCGGGGCCTGGTAGGTGTCCTCCCCGGGGTCATAGCCACGAGGGGGCAGCTCCGCGCCATTGGGCTCCGGCAGCTTGACCTGGGTGCCATCGCGCGCGGTCAGGGTGTCGGTCTCCGGGTTGAAGTCCAGCGAGCCGGCAATCGACAGGGCGGTGACGATCTCCGGCGAGGCCACAAACGCATGGGTCAGGGGGTTGGAGTCATTGCGGCCGGTGAAGTTCCGGTTGTAGGAGGTGATGATGGAGTTCTTGGTGCCCTTGGGGACATCCTGGCGGTCCCACTGGCCGATGCAGGGGCCACAGGCGTTGGCCAGCACGGTGCCACCGACGCCATCGAAGATGTCGACCAGCCCGTCGCGCACGATGGTGGCACGGATCTGCTCGGAGCCCGGGGTAATGAGGAACTTGGACTTGGCCTCGACACCGTGGTCATTGGCGAACTTGGCAATGCTGGCCGAGCGGGTCATGTCCTCGTAGGAGGAGTTGGTGCAGGACCCAATCAGGCCGGCACTCAGCTCCAGGGGCCAGCCCTCGGCACGAGCACGAGCGCCAAACTCCGACAGCGGCGTCGAAAGGTCCGGCGTGAAGGGACCATTGATGTGGGGCTGCAGCTCGTCCAGGTTGATCTCGATCACCTGGTCGTAGGAGGCGCCCTCATCAGCGCGCAGGTGCTCGCGGAAGGAGTCCGCCAGCGAGGCGATCTCCGAGCGGCCGGTGGCCTCCAGGTAGGACTTCATCCGGTGGTTGAAGGGGAAGACCGAGGTGGTGGCGCCAATCTCGGCACCCATGTTGCAAATGGTGGCCATGCCCGTGCAGGAGATGGAGTCAACACCGGGGCCGAAGTACTCGACGATGGCACCGGTGCCACCCTTGACGGTGAGAATGCCGGCCAGCTTCAGGATGACATCCTTGGGGGAGGCCCAGCCGCGCAGGCTGCCAGTCAGCTTGACACCGATGACCTTCGGGCACTTGAGCTCCCACGGGATGTTGGCCATGACGTCCACGGCGTCGGCACCACCAACACCGACGGCGATCATGCCCAGGCCACCGGCATTCGGGGTGTGCGAGTCGGTACCGATCATCATCAGACCCGGCACGGCGTAGTTCTCCAGGATGATCTGGTGAATGATGCCGCTGCCCGGGCGCCAGAAGCCCAGCCCATAGCGGGAGCACACGGTCGACAGGAAGTCGTAGACCTCCTTGTTCTGGTTGACCGCGCGGTTGAGATCGGCCACACCGTCGATCTGGGCCTCAATCAGGTGGTCGCAATGAACGGTGGACGGGACGGCCACCTTGGGCAGGCCGGCGGACATGAACTGCAGGAGAGCCATCTGGAGATTGGTGAAGCGGGCGGGGGGAGGGGGGAGGGAGGGGGAGGGAGCAGGGATGTGTGAGTCGGGCAGGCGCGCGCGCGCGAGGGAGAGAGAGGGAGAGGGAGGGAGGGAGGAGCAAGGATGCATCGGAGCGCCCGCGCATATGCTTGCCCTAGCAAGGCCAAGAAGACGAGTGGACAAGCATCAAGCGCACCTGAGCAGTGGCATCCTGGCAGGCGACGCGGTCCGGGCGCAGGCGGAGGTAGGAGACACCGCGCTCGATGTCCTGGGTGTGGGGCTCGTCAAGATGACCGTAGACGATCTTCTCCGACAGGGTGAGCGGGCGGTTGAGGCTGCAGCGAGGAGGGGCGATGGGGTTAGAGGCGATCCGCCGGCCGGGGGTGCGAAGGAGCGGCGGACACATATGTGGCCTGGGGGGGCGGGGGGAGCGGGGGCGGGGGCGGGGGCGGGGGGAGTGTGGGCAGACGCACCGGCCGCGCACGATGCGGAGGTTGTCCTCGATGTCACCGTAGCGAATGTACTGGTCCTTCTCGAGGTTGCTCATGGCAACCTTGGCGTCGTGGAAGTTGACACCAGCCGAGGTGGCCAGGGTGCGGCGCGCGGCGGCGGCGGCGGCCATGTTACCGACGGACTGCGGGGGCGCGAGGAGGGTCAGCAGAAGAGCAAGGCGGAGGGCTGCACACCGGTGGGGGAGAGC